TTCGTTTTTTTTTTTCTATGAATGTCAATAAAACTTTATTTGTTGGCTAAAAATACTTGAAAATTTAATTCAAGGCTCCTATTATATTGTTCCAATGATATTTGAAAAATATTAAAAATCCTTAGTCAAAGTTTTTTTTTTTATAATCATTTAAAGTACAAAAATTGACAAAATATGGAAAAATTTGGAAAATTAGCAAATTATTTTTAGTTACGAATTTGTAGAATTTTTTTTTTAAAACTAAGATCTTAAAGTGTAATACAAGATTCCTTATAAGATTAGCTACCTTTGACCAAAAAAAAAAATGTCTGTAAGAAAGTCAAATAAAATTTTTATGAGCGTTTGAAATTCAAATTTTTACAACATTGGATATTCACTCGATATCTCATGTAGGTAGCGATTTCCTCACTTTGTTATAATTCAAAAATAAATAACTGTAGATACATGAACATTTCACTGAATGTATCCTATACACCATACAATTTTGAAAATATTTTGACTCTTTTTGAGCTGTTTACGGACATTTACAGTATTACATTTTTTTAGTTCTTTTTTCTATAAATATCAATAAAGTTGTATCTGTTGGGCCAAAAAGTGTAAAAACTTAATACAATTTTACCTGATATATTGTTACAATATCAGTTGAAAAATATTAAGAATACATAGGTAGTCACAATAATTTTTTTATAAGCATTTAAAGATTTAATTTTGACAAAATGTATTAAATTTAAAATTAAATAATTATTTTGTAGTTAAAAATGTATAAAATGTTCAACTTTTATATCTAAGGATTGAAAATTTAAAACAAGATTTCACGTAAGTAGTTGATTCTGTTACCAAAAAAATCTAAAAAAAAAAAGAACCACAAATTCTAATATAGTCATTTTAAGTTCAAATTTGGACGAAATTACATAAAAAAAACCTAGAATAACTATTTTAGTTATTTTGTTGTGATTGTATAATATTATTCGTGGGTACTTGAAACTTCTAAAGTACACTATTATATATCTATGATAGTATCAGCGTTTGTTGTTGATGTAAAACGCGTTATAAGTAACTAATGGATATTGTGATATGATTAATTTGTAATTTATAGGTCAATTTTTTTTAATACCATAATAGTTAAGTATATAATATGCCTTACCTATACCTAGACAGACATACCGTATCCTCTCAGAATCGTTTTTCTTATACAATGATATTATATCATTGAATTAAAATTTAATACGATCCATTATACAGTGATCCACTTGTAACCTACTGTACAGCAGAGCACTTTTTTTAGTTTTTTTTTCTATAATTGTCATTAAAATATTATTTTTCGTGTAAAAATGCTTGAAAATGTAATACAAGGCTCCTGATATATTGCTACAATGGCAGTTTAAAAATATATTTTTAATATTGTTTTTGTAGTTTTGGTTATTAATTACGTCAGCTTATTTCTGTATAGGTACTAAGGAAGCAGGTTAGGCCAAACTGAAATCGTTCGATAAATCCTTTTATCGATAATCCCGTATTTTGCGCGTAACTAATTATCACGTGAATTACTTAATATCTGAAGGTATTTCTAAATGACTCTTTGGATAAACACATTATTGTTTTTCGAACATTCGTGTATGTTACGAGGGCATATCAATGCAACGGATAATAATTTCTTAGATAAAAATAATAGCATACAAAACATTAAAATTAAAAAATATCATAATATACTCACATAAAAATTGAATTATCACTGTATTATAATAATTAAAATTATATAATATGTATACCTATGTATATTGTATATGTATTAAAATATATTACTACTGAGTAATAGTACATGAAGTATTCATCTTTAAGCGTAATAATGTAATATGTAAAAATCATTACCATAATTAACTATAAATGGTTCACAATTTCAATAGGTATGTCTCGTCTATAATATAATATAGGTACAATTATTTTTGTAATAGCATAGATAAGTATATAATATGTCTTATACCTAGACTGACATACCGTCTCCGCTCAGAATCGTTTTTCTTACACAATGCAATTATATCATTCAATTCAAAATTAATACCATCCGTTATACAGTGACTCGTTTGTAACCTACTGTATAACAGAGCGACATTCACTTAAGTATATCAATGAGACATTTTTTAAATTTTGCAGATTATTTTTCAGTTAGATATTTATAAACGTTTTTCTTTTCTACAATTATACCTGAGATTAGAAATTTTAATAGAAGATTTCACGCACATTTTTCTATCTACATAAATAAAAAAAATTATATTGAAAAGTAACATTCATTTTTTTATGAGTGTTAGTGAGTATCGCCTCGCTGTACAGTAATTCTCGAGTCATTGTATGGGTGTGTTGGATTTTAATTCGATGATAAACCATTGCATACGAAAAACAATTACTCAGTCATACTTGTATGAGTAATCAATTATAATAATTTAAAAACAAATTAATAAAAGTTAATTATATCTCATGGCTATAAACAGCGTAATTTTTCGGTAAAAATTGTTTGCTTGTTAATGGTAGAAAAACTTGAGGGCAAATTTCTTCCTATACATTTTTAACCGAAAAATAATTTGCAAATTTTCGGGATATTTATTAATTATGTCAAAATTTGATCTTTAAATGCATATCTATAAGAAATGATCACACCTATGTATCTTTAATATCTTTGAACTGTTATCAAAATAACTTACGAGAAACCTTGCATTAAATGCTTTTTTACAGTCAACAATTTTTTTATCGACAGCAATTTAAAAAAAAAGGAGGACAAGTTAGTGCATACAGTAGCAATGGCGTATCCAGGGGAAACACCCCCCCCCCCCATTTATATTTTCCCTCCACCACCCCTGATCAATTTATTGTTTATATGGTTCGGGACTGCTTGCATGTCTTATTGTAGTGGTCGTAGATTATCTTAGATAAGTTATAAATTTGTCTTATGAAATTTTTTTTATGTCTTATCAAAGAAAGTTTGAATTTGCATATTTTTGCATGTTTTAGGAAAAGTGTACGTTTGAGCGATTTTTAGCATGTTTGTGCATATTTTGCATTTTTTTAACTTAAAAGTACATACAATAGTCGGGAAAAATCATATTTGGATAACATTGAAAAATATCTTTAAAATATTATGTTTGGTTAGGTACAATAAGCCCTAATTTTGAGATTTGAGGAGGCCGAAGCCTAAAGCCATACTATTATAAACTTGAATAAGGTTAAAAATTGTGGTAAATGTTTGGGAATGCTGTTAAAGTTGGTGGAGCTTGGCTACGGTTGGCCTTATTTTCGCATATGGTAAGTAAGATTTTACAAGTCTCTTTGTGACAAGACTGTGTTAAAACTATAACTGATATCTAGATTCTAGATTGTACGAAGAAATGAAAATCAGTAGATACGTTTATCACGGTGTTCTCATATCACGTTATTGGTTATTAATTATTTATTAATCTAGTAGGTATTTTATGCCAGTATTTTTAAAAATGTCCAAAACGTGCAATAGTGTCCTCCGTCCATCATATTAATCAATATAGGTACCTATATTAAAATTAGTAAGCCCGTGTATAAATTGTTTTTATCATGTTTATAAACCTACTTATTTTTTAGTTTTTATTACCAAAATAGTAATATGTTTTATGAATTTTTCAAAAACAATATAAAAATGTAGCTGCATATATTTAAGCATATTTTGACAATTTTGACTGCATATTTCGATAATTTTTAGTGCAACAAGTCAAGTCCCGAACCCTAAATTTATTTAAATACTAAAACTGTAAAAACTTGGTTTTAATCTATACTTAAACCAGGGGCGTAGCGTGCATGTAAGCACTGTAAGCACTGCTTACACTTTAAATGAAAGAAAAAATAAATTTGATCAATCACGACTAATAGGTACATAATAAATGATTTTTAAAATTTTAATTTTATTTATAAAATATTTAAGTTATAGCTGGTAGTGGTTTTTGTTATTGTGTATTTGTGCCGTACGCTGTTTACTGATTACCTACTATTTTAAGAAAATCATCGATTGTAGGTCTATTTTTAATCTATTCTGTATTATGTTAACTGCATAATCATAATTCATAATACGATATACAGTGCAACACATTCTGAAATTGCTTACGCGCAACTGTTATTTTCGAATAGTCTATAATGCCATGGTGGGGGTCACGTATTTAACTAGCGTTTGTAAGCACATTTGATTTTGCTTACGCGAGAAACAAGGAGCGACCTGACGTAGCCCGACGCGTTGTAGACTGTAGTCGTTTTTACGTACACTGTCACTGTCATTCGCCTAATAGACTTTTGAAGTATTTATACTTCAATTTCTTTATTTTCTCGAATTTGATTTGTACAACTTACTAGTATATTTTTAAAAATATTAAAAATTTTAAAAGGACAACATTTTTTTATACATAATTTATAATTAGGTATTTAGGTATAGTACCTATATTCTAATCACTTTTGAAAAAAAAAATTCACTGCTTACATCTTTTTAATACCCACGCCACGCCACTGACTTAAACAATCCCCATTTCATAATTCTGGCTACGCCACTGTACATTAGGCAGAAGTAGTCGAGCGTACCTATGTCATTGTAGATAATGGACGTGTTATATTTGAATTCGATGATGTACGGAAAACGATTCTGAGCGGAGACTCGTCGTGTCCTCCTATGAACAAAACTTGTTTAAATGATCAAATTGGATAATGAAGGAAAAAAAAAATTGATAAAAATCAAAAATATATCACGGCTATTTAATACTGAAACAGCGTCATTTTCCGGTAAAGTTGTTTTTTTTTTTTTCAGATTAACCGAAAAGAAACGGAACCCGAAATTTGGGGTTTTCCGGGAACCGGAACCGTATAAATCACCAAGACGCGTAGAATATAATATCATTGTACTTATAATACACCGGCCGCGGCTAAGATAACAGTTATATTTTTAACCGACCCGCCGCGACAACAATCGGACATCGAAATCGGAAAGCCTCGAAAGTCGGTCACTCTTGTATGTTTCGGATGTTCCTCGCTCGCACCAGCTTCGAGCCCTGCTCGTCGTAATCGGACCTCTCGATGCACACCCGATGGAAGTACGACGACGACGCAATCACGGAGCCTCCGATCCACGTGGAATACTCGCGCTCGGGCAGCGCGGAGATCCCGACATTCGCGTTGCACGAGACCCCTTGGATCATCGTCTTCAGCCGTTCGGGAAACCCCTGGAAAAGCGTGTTGCCGCCGGCCACCAAGATGTTCTCGTACATGTCTTTGCACTCGTTGCGGTTGCAATCGCCGATCGACGCTTGGACCTGGCTGTGGATGCCGTCCACGACGGGCCCGTCGATGTGCCCGATCAAAGAGGGATCGAACAGCGCTTCGGGGCATCGGATGCTATATACATGTTAGGAATTGGAGAGGCGAAGAAGATTAATTCAACGAGTCCGACCCACGGCGCGCAGTCGTCCTGATCTTAGTTCATAACGGGACAAAATCATTTTTTTCCGTTTATCGCTCGATATGGGCTTATAAAAGTCTAGGGGGTACCTGACAGCAAGGCTGGGCAAGTTAGCCGTTTTTTAACTCGTTAAGTCGAGTTGGTTTAAAATAATTGAGTTAAGCCAAAAGTTAATCGCATTTTTTTTTAGTCAACTCGGAAAAAAACTTATCTTTGTGTAAAGTTAAAATTTGATAATTTTCAAAAAATTAAAAATTCCAGAAACATACCTAATATGGTTTATTAGATGGTTTTTCACTAAGTTCGAGAGAATTACTGGGGAAATTTAAAATGGTACATCAAAGTAAAAACGCATTTGAAAATTTGCATTATTCTTCGGACAAAAATGAACTTAATGTAGACATTATTGAAATGAAATCAACTTGAAGTTACCACGTTAATCTTGAAAAAAAGTAACTTATTAAGTTAAAAGTTTATTTGAAAAAAAAGTATCGAGTTAAATAACTTGATAAAAATTAACTTAACGTTTTAACTGTTAATATAATCTAATTCAAGGTTGGGCATTAACGAGTTAAAAAGTTAAAGTAAAGTTAAATAGTTAATTTAATTTTAACTTTGGATACCTAAACCGTCATCAACGGAACTTGTTCTGCAGTAATTTGCAAATAGTAAAAATGAAGCATAAATTTAAAAACTTTACAATAATTATAATATATATTTTTTACTCCTAAAAAACTTTTACAATTAATTTTACAAATTTAATTTAATTATTGTTCTTAAGAAAATATTTTACAAGTAGGCACTTGTGTGCTAACTATTATGTTTGTCTACAATTTATTTAAAATTATATTTATTACAGATAAGTTTAGACTGAAGAATATACCTGCGCTTTTTCCTTGAGTGACAATAATTTATTATTATCTGTTCGATCATAAATTACAGTCACAATATTTTTTCTAGGTATTATCTGTTTTATGATCATTAGAATACATATACGTTCGACGGTATTTCGTTAAAAGGGCGTTCACCATTACGTTTGCCCTAGACAGAGGAGTGAGTATTTTCATAATAAGCTACTTTTTATCCCAAAATTCAGCTCAATATAAAACAAAAAAATAAGACTAATATAATTTTGAATAGTGATATATAATTGATAACTATATATTATCCAATACGCAGATAATGGTTTAAAAAAAAAAAATCAAAAATCAAAGCCTTAATGTAATTAAATATTTAAGTCGAATCTGAAATACCAGCTTCACAGTTTGTACCTACCAGTAATTTTTAATAGATCAATAACGTAAGAAAAAAGTGGATGACGCTCTGCTGTACAGTAGGTTACAAGTGGGTCACTGTAATGAATATTGTTAAATTTGAATTCAATGATATAAAATAATTGTATAAGAAAAACGGTCAGTCAGCCTAAGATATTACTAAGTATATTTGATGATAATAAGGTGAACAAAGTAATTTATATATAACATATTTACGTGGAATCTTGTTTTAAATTTTCAGTCCTTAGCTATAAAAGTTGAACATTTTATAAATTTTTAACTACAAAATTATTATTAAATTTTAAATGATTATAAAATAAATTGTGAGTATGTATTTTAATATTTTTCAACTGCTAATGTACCAATATATCAGGAGCCTTGATTTAAATTTTCAGGCTTTTTACCCAACAAATACAATTTTATTGATATTTATAGAAAAAAACTGAAAAAACTGAAAACTGACAATGTCCGTAAACAGTTTAAAAAAAGTCAAAATATTTTCAAAATTGTATGGTGTATAGAAAATGTTAATATACGCATTCAGTGAAATTTTCATGTACCTACAGTCATTTGTTTTTTAATTAAAATAAAATAAGAAAATCATTACATGAGTAAATATCAAATGTTGTAAGAATATGAATTTCAAACGCTCATAAAAATTTAATATGAGTTTCTTGTAGACATTTATTTTTTGATAAAGGAAGAAAAAATTATGAGAAATTTTGTATTATAAATTATAAATTATAAATTATAAATTTTGTAAATCTTAGATTTAAAAAGAAAATATTTTATGAATTTCTAACTCAAAATAATTTGCACATTTTCGTCATTTTTACGTATTTGGTCAATATTTGAACTTAAAATGCTTATAGAAAAATAGTGATTATGGATTAGTAATTTTTCTCATCTTCCTTTGAAACAATATACTAGAGGAGCCTTCTATTACATTTTTAAGCTTTTCCAACCAACAAATACATTTTATTGATATTTATAGAAAAAAAAACTAAAAATAATGGAAACTGAAAATGTCCGTAAACAGCTCAAAATAAGTCAAAATATTTGGAATATGATAATATGGTGTATAGAAAAATATGTTAATAATTCATTTACCTACAGTCATTTGTTTAAGAGTCGCACTTATTAGTAGGTAGTACGAGTTGGTACAAAAGATAAAAGTTTATTGTACCCACGTGGCTAATTATATACTTTATGGCCTGTTGTACAGTATAATTGAATATAATATTGATATTTAATTATACAATAACATACTAATAAAAAATAATTAATTACTCATGAATAGGTATTAAGATTTATGAATATAATTCGTGGCATCAATGTCTTCATACGAGTGACTAGTGTTCTACTTATATTACAATTTTATTAATTTTATTAATACAATATAAATTAGTTTTTTTCTTTAAACATAAATACGAAGTTCTTTTTAAATATATCTTATTTTTTTTTCTGATAATATTTTCAATATCTGGACACCGCGGCGTCCGGGTAAAACGAAATTATTAATATTTATTAATCAGGGCTTATATTTCTATAAAGAGCATTTGGTAATTATATAAGCTTTGGTTACATAGGTACCAAATCTAGGTACCTAGAAATGGCTACCTAGCTGAGAAAGCTACTGAAATTCTAGCTAACTTCCCGTCCCTGGCCTGGGGAAACAGAATATAATATTTTCAATATTGTTAAGTATACTCGAATAAAAGTATTCAAATACTTTTCAAGTACTCAAATGCCTATTTAAATACTTTCTGAAAGTATTTGTATTTAAAATCAAATACTAATATTTACAAATACTTATTCTTTTTAGTTAATATTTTTTCTATTTAAATTTTTAATCACTTGAAACGAAAACAAAAATCTGAGCAAGTGGGTACCATGATACATTAATACATTATATGTAATATAATTACATTACGTGGGTTACTGTAATGAATATTGTGTTAAATTTGATTTCAAAGACATAAAATCATTATATTCGAAAAACGATTCTGAGGTAAAGTGACTTATATTAGGTATTACAAGTTTATTTTTCGATATTATTGCTATCAAAGTAATTTATTTTACTATTAGTAAGACATTTGGTTGTTTTAAAATTTAATATATTTCAAAAGATTCAAGTACCTGCTCACGAAATTTTGAAAATACCAACAAATAACAAAAACAGTTATTCTCTGTTTAAAATTTAAAATATCTAATTTCGTTTAAATTTGAAGTTAAAACCATGGTGGATTTGACTCTAAAATCCTATTTTAATATTGAGCGCTGAATACTTTATTTTCATTGTTCGTGGACAGATTTGGGGGCTGGTAAAAAAAGAAGCATACAATTGTTGCTCAAATAAATTATTAATACATTTGTTTATTTAATATCGAATAAAAGACTGTTGAATTTTTATACGGTTTAATTTTTTTTATATATATATATATATATGTTGGACACAAATTTAATCCTTATCGCATAAGTTTATATCACGTCCAGTCTTGCACTAAAAATAAAAGTTACGGTTACCGGCGAACCTACCGCCCGACCGCTCTCTACCAGTCAGTCGTGTCCGACCAACGGTGACGTGCCGTCATTTATTTTGTGGCAAAATTATTATTTTCTTGTCTACAATTGTACACATTCATATCATACCATTATACCAACAACGTCATCCCGAAGCATGAACCACCACCATATTCAATATCCGATGGTTTCGTGAGTCGGCTGTTAGCCATCTAGTCTATATTATTTACCGTATTATATCTTTATATTGTTATTTGTGGCTTATATTATTGTCATATTACTATTTATATACAAACATTATTCCCCTACTGGTCGCGACCCCCCCCCCCCCTAACAAGTGTGTACAATGTAATTTGTTTTGTATGCAATATATTTAATTACGAATAGTTCAAGATAATACATATTGCACTTAGTCAACCCTCGTGTCCGATAACTTAACAACGTATATTTTGAATATACATCGATTTTATAATTTTATGATTTTTATATCGATTTGAGTAAATTGTTTTCTGATTTTAAAAATATATATTTAATATATATTATCCATGGAATTTGATTTAGATCAATCATAACACACTTAATCAAATGTCGATTCTGGATCTCCCATTAAATTTTATTTTAAAATTAAAGAATGTTCAAATTGGTAAAATCTCTATTTTACGAATATACAATGGACAAAAAATAAAATATACTTTTTAGAGAAACATAGTGGCTAGAAACAACTAATCCATCTACTACTATATATCGGTGCCAACTCTTTTGCACTATAGTCACTTGTCTTTACTAGTTAGAAATGCATTGCAAATATTCCATTAATATCCAAGATTTTAAAAATGAATACAAGATTCCTCATAAGTTTTCCTACCATTAACAGGAAATAAAAGTTTACCGGACTCAAACTAATTTTTTATGGGCGTTTGAATTTTAATTGTTTTTGACATTTGATCTCAAAGAATAACGATTTTAATTATTTCGTTGCAATTTAATAATATTAGGTAGGTAGGTAGGTAGTATTATAATATTGGTCGACTGACAGACCAAGACCGTCTCAGCTCAGGCCTCAGGATCGTTTTTCGTATACAACGATATTATATGATTGAATTCAAATTTAACATTATATATTAGAGTGACGGTCACTGAATGTCCCACCCCTGGCACAATTATAGGGAGTGTTGCATGGTGCATAATATGTGTTATAATAATAATAACATATTATTATATTATTTTAATATAACAACATTAAATAATAATTTCTTTACTCTTTTGAGTTTAGTGAATTCGAATTACTGTCGAAGAAAAATCCTTAAAAAGCCCAGTAGAACCCTTTATTTTATTTCAAAGGCCCGGCCCTTTCCAATGTCACTACGGGTCGGACTTTTTAAGGACCGGGTTTTGCCGGCCCAGTCCTTGAAGGTCTTTAGTACCTAAACTCCATGAAGTTAGCTATATCATATAGCTTTACTAATAATTATTAACTATGACACGTGAGCAAACAATATTGATTTTGAGAGTTATAATAAGGTGTGACCGTTTTTCACTTTTATTATCAGGTAAGGGCCCCTAATTATCAAGTTGTGCTACTGGGTATCCACCTTTTATAATTTTATGTGTTAAAAAGTATATCTTATAAAAGGTACTCTGACAAGATGTCGCTGGTAAGAAATATCTCCACTAAAATATCCCAAAACCAATAGGTATAAGAAATAATATCGCCAGTAAGATATCGCATGGGAAAAATAAAGTCAGTATATTATTGCATCTGTCTTTTGCATGTAACATTATCGAATTCATATAATCTTATACTATAAATTATTATTTGTAACATGTGTTTTTAGATTACCAATTTTTTTTAGTCCGTTTTTATTTGAGTAAATTGTATTTGATTTGATCATATTATAATCATACATTGTTTCAATTACATATTTTAATTTATCAATTAATTTAATTAATAATTATTATTATCATGTAGGTAACTATATCGTAAAATATATTAAATAAAATAATAATTGAGTTTGTTTGGATGAACGAGCTAATCTCAGGATAGTGGTTCTTATCACTAGGTACTGGTTCGAATTGAAAAATTATTCTTATGTTGGATTTAAGCCTGACCTTACAAATCGATTTTTCCGACAATCTAGAAAAATATCTTCACGATCATTATATTATAGGTATATACAAAGTTTTAAATACAATCTTGAAAATAGACCAATGAGTGATTTAAAACTTATTATCCATGCTGATGTAAGACCTCACAATGATCATCGATGTCGGTATAATGTGCCGATAATAGAGGAAGTATCTGTTCTTTTGATAGACGAGGATAAAGGCCCCCGAGATATTGTGTTGAATGTGTGAGATGATCAACTTCAGCGAGTTTCTGAGCTTCACAGAGCTTATGACCCACTTAAATATCATTTACGGTTTCCGTATTGCAATGACGGGTACTGTATAAATATTCTACAACATAATGATGCTGCAGCCTGCAGCTAAATCTAAAACTGTATCAATGCATGTAGTCTTATGTTTTTAGACGCATGATGAGTATTGATAACTTTAACAGTTTAACAGCTTAGATTATTTCAAAGGATTACTCAACCAATACAGTATTGATATGGCGGCAAAAATGATATCTGAGCGGCATCAAGCCTCTATTTATTCATCAAGAGAAATATGCACGTGTTACATAAATGGGCCATCCAACACAAAAATAGTTTTTCAATTCGAACAAGTAGTTCCTGAGATTAGCGTGTTCAACCTAACAAACTCTTAAACTTTATAATACTAGTATATAGATTACGTTATTATAGTTTAAAATTAAATTGCCGCGATATTATTCCCACATAGTATTTTAGTGGCGATATTGTGGTCACGAGATATTAGTTTACCGTTGATATTTTGTTGGCAATTAGGAATAAAATATACTAACGCTTCATTGTTGATGTTGACAATCATCCCGTCTGGCAACTTGTATATCTGTTCCTTGTCCTTGCCAAAATTCGCCATTTCCTTTTCAAAGTCTACAGCACTGTAGCAAAACGTTTCTTTCATGTATTTAATTCTTTCAAAGTCTTTCATCGTGGTCAAGCTATAACCACGCCCGTTAATCATTTTCTTGAGAAACTGAGTCAAGTGCCATCCGCCGACCGGCATACTTCGCAAGGCGTGCGAAATCGGAAATCCTTCGTAAATGGGAACGATATGTGTGCTCTGGTACCCGGAATCGACCACCATGCCAGTGGTCTTGCCGATGCTGTACAGAGCAAGTGTCGCCTTGTTCACCAACGACATCTTGGGCACGTTGAACACTTCGAACATGATCTATATGTGTAAAGCAATTAATCGGGAAGACGGCTATCGAATACTATAAGTACCTATAACACTTGAAAGTATAGAGATTTCAAATTAAAATATAATGGTATAATAACAAATTATTACTAGGGCCCGGGGCGATGATAACATTTGAATATTTCGATTGAGAGAAAAACTACTAGTTAATTATTTGTCATTATTATATTTTTATATTTTCCACAGATCTAAACAGAACCCACAACTTTATAGATCATAATTTTAATTTTAAAATCAATCGATAATTTTATAAGTATCAACATTTCTAAAATATTTAGGTCATTAACAAATAACATTTTTCGGGGCAATTTTAAAGTTTTCTCATAAACACCCGGAACCTATAATTATTACTAATTATTAGTCTGCTATGATTTATCAAAATGAGCTGTGTACAATTTATTAAATATCTAAACATACCTAATGTATATTAGTGTTAACTTCCTATTGTAGATACCTATATATTATTATATTAAAATATACTGATTTCAAGTACAAAAAAAAAAAAAAATGTTTGTACTAAGTTCTCTGAATTCTTTTCGAAATACTAGAAAAACCATTTTATAGATTACTAACAGCAATTTTATAATTTCAATCGAGTAGGTAGGTACCTATAATTAAATATGTATACTTATCATAATATCATCTTAGTGTACCTAAATACCTAATGTCGTTGTGTATTATATCTGTTTAATGTTTTAAATACATATGGTCTTAGGTAGGTATACCTAGATATTTAAATATGATATTGACCTCATAAAGTTTTTCACGCAACGGAATTGGATTGTGAACCGGCTCCGACATTAAAATTGCATAATTTTCCGGTGGTATCGACAGCTGTTCGTAGAACATATGAAACCAAACCTCTTCCATAGCATCCCAGTCAGTAATGAGACAATTATGTATCGGAACACTGGTTTCCAAAATACCCTTGTTATCATGGCAAAACTGACCGCTATAAACCGGCCTCTGGGTAGATCCCATCCTGGCAAGCTAATATTAAATAAACGTAGACACGTAGTCACTGATATAAGTTGATAGTATACAAATAATAAAATAGTTATTTAATATATTGTTTGGAATTATTTTTTACGATTAAAATATTTAAAAAAAAGTGGGTAAGTGGATGTCGCTCTGCTGTACAGTAGGTTACAAGCGGGTCACTGTATAATAGATTGTATTTCATTTGAATTCAATGATATAATATCATTAGATTGTTATTATTTATTATATTATCCGGTAAATTGAATAAATATTATGAATTACAATGAAATAACTAAAATCGTTATCAAACAAATACGGAATTTGAAAAATTCATTATTAAATGAAAAAATGGTGGTGAGCATGCTTGGTGTATCACTCTGTATATACTGGGTGATTCTTTTATCAAACAACACTCATTATTTCAAAAAATGTAAATTTTTTTGAAAATATTTTTTTAAATAGTTTCAAGTCGTTTATAAAACAACGTTTTTATTAAAAAATTATATTTTTAAATATTTTTTATCCTTATAATTTTTTAAGTTTTTACTTTTTTGAATAACAACATAGGGTTTTAATTTTATATTCCAAAGCAGAATATTTTTCTTAGTATTTTGATACATGAAAATCGAATTTGGGTTGAGTAGTTTATGAGTTATAAATATTCAAAGTTTGATGAGCGGTGAAGTGGACAAACATTTCGCGGGGTAACCCCGAACCACTCCACTCCGCTCGTCTAAACTTTAAATACTTATAACTCGTAAACTACTCGCCTCAAATTCGATTTTAATGTATCAAAATACTAAGAAAAATATTCTACTTTATAAATTATATTTATACCTAGTGAAATATATTATATTATACGTACATTATCAGTAATTTTTATATAACAATAATAACAATAAAATAACAAATGCCTAGGCACTAATACCATACATTATAGTTAAAGACTGGATGTATATGTTTTTACATATTGTTACTGGGTCTATGCAGTCTTATGAGAGTAAAATATGTGGACGATTCGTTAAATTCTGAATGCGTAGAAAAAAGTTTTTTTTTGCATATTTGAGAATATTTCGTAAATTGTGAGAAAATATTTGTATTTATTTTTAATTTTAATACTACTGTACGCAGAAAAATATTTTGAACATTTAAAATTTTTTTCTTATTATTTCCAACTCTCACTAAAGTGCAATAGTACTCCATTAGAATACTCAACTTTTAATACCTAATTAATAGCTCACTATTAAAATAATGTTGAATAAAAAAAATTTAAAAATGCATAATATAACCGCTATGTTTATTGATTATTATGCATATTTTAGCATATTTCTTAAATTTTTAAGATTATATAATGAGAATATTTGAAGTTTTTTTAGAGAATATTATCATCATATTTTAGGTATATTAAGAGAATATAAATCCGGTCTTTAATCATAGTATTTTGATTTATAAAATAAAATACAAAATTAAATAAATACGAGATATTTATTATGCTTCTATATAGAACTATAGTACCTACCTAATTTGTTATGTATTTCTGAAAATATTTGCCATAAAGCTATTTAAAGAATTACAAAAAAAAATCAATATTTTTTACAGATTTGCCGCCTGTGGACATTAAAATATTGAATGGAGAAATTCGTATATAGTTTGTAGCTGAATGTTTTGTGTAAAATAAATTTAAAGATCGATTGGATTTGTTTTAAAATTTATACTTTGAAGTAATACTGGACAATCAATAATATTATCTAATAATTTAAGTAAACACTTAAATTTAATTTGGATAAATCGTTGCTATAGCTATTGTATATTAAAAAAACGCAAATGATTCCTCATCCGACCCCTACTTTATTTTTGACTATAATTCGCTATTTCGTTAATTTCTTTTCGGTATTTTGACCGGGATACCATTTTCGGGTGATTTTTAAGCATGTTTACCCCCATATATCCCTTCAACAGTACTTTTATTCAAATTATGATTTTTAGAATTGTCAAGTATGCCTAAAAACCATATTTTAAAATTCATCATATTTTGCACTACTTAATTAGTGTCTTATGGCGATACAAACTTCTATTTTTCAAATGGTAATAACTCTTTTTACTTTTAAATATCTGCTGAATAAATTGAAGTGAAATGGGGGGGGGGGATCTTAAGTATTTGAAAAACAGAAGTCTTGTACCAACTGTCACAGAATTATTCTTAGGTGGCACAAAAAATCTCAAGTATTCACAAATAATATTATGGTCTTTAAAGTTCAAGTGTTCTTAAAAATGCCAAAAATATAGATATTTGAATATTATGCATAATCTAAGCACAAAAACAAGATGAGTAGATATGCTTAAAAATTACTATGTATAATATAATATATTTTTAATATCGAAATTGTATTGAATGGTATCACTTAAACATTTTGTAAGTAAATCATTATTATATTTTTGTTGAGATTTTTAATTGTCGATTACTAATGTAGGTACTTTGAGTCTTGACATGTGCATGTTGTAGGTATACTGTAAGTTGAATAACATCATAATAATTCATAAGAAACTATCAATATAGTATAAGTATTTATATAGCAATGACCGTTATGTTTACCTTTTAAATGTAGATAATATATACCAGGTGATCAATCTCAATGTATACATTTATAATTTCAAAAAGTTTAACTTAAAATATTTTTTTTTATTTAATTTTACGTGATTTCTAAAAAATAATTCTGAACGAAAAAATAAAATATTACTTCTATTTTTTATCGTTGTGATTTTTCAACTTTTTTTTAACTTTTTTAATGACACCATAAATCGTTGATATCATATTCCTAAGCAAAATAATATTTGGAGTATTTCAATCTATAAAAATCTAATTTTGGACATGCATGTATTTCATTAGTTATAAGTTTTAAGTATAAAAACACTTAAAAATCGTAACGATGAAAAAAAAAAATATATTTTTCAGAAATGACATCAATTTATGTACGTACTACGTACCTACAAAAAATATTTTTTAAGAAGTTGAAAATATTCTATATAATGACTAATGAGTGTAATTGCTTCAATGGATCACCTTCGCTTGTATGTAGCTACATAATATCAAGGCTGGCCATTAACGAGTTAAAATTAATTTAAAACTTTAAGTTAAATAACTTTAAGTTTTTTTTTCATGATTAACGTTTTAACTTCAAGTTAATTTTATTTAAAAAGCATCTAAATTAAGTTAATTTTCTTCCGATGAATAATGAAAAATTTTGAATGGGTTGTTACTCTGATGTATCATTGTAAATTTCCACAGTAATTTTCTTGAGTGTAAAGAAAAAATATCAAATAAATGATATTATGTGTCGAGAATTTTTAGATTCTGAGCGGACCGAGGAAGCTAGTGGTTTTACAATGATGTTTATTTTTTTTTTTATCCTGTATACAAAATTTCTACCAAATGCAGTGCTTCGATTTCGACATATAGTACCTTAACTTTTAGAAAATTGGATTAAGATGGAACTTTATAGAGGTCATTTTTAGATTTTCTCAATAGTTATCTAATGCCACGAGAAAAACCACCAACAAATTACGAAAAACCGCTAAAAGTGGGATTTTAATTTCAATATTTGTTTGCTTACTTCTTCCCGTTGTTCTCCGTGAATAGTCGGAATTAATAACTGAGGTAAATGTTCACCGGCAAAACCAACTTTCAGTGAATAAGATCCATTATCACATACTATTGCAGCGCTATCCGCTAGAAACGAGATTTGTTCGAAAATATCGATCACTAATTACATATTTTTTTGAACTAACTATACAATAATATTATAATATAGACGGTAGGTACGTACTGTAAAACCTATAGCCATGTTCAGGGATGGTCATTGACGAGTCAAATCTATTAGTTAACTATAGGGAGTTCCTTTTCAGGTACTTTTAACTATTGGTTAGGTACATATTAATCAATGCGTTAAATTTGTCTCCAAGATAACCGAATATTATGAGTAAACTATTAGTTTTACTGTTTTATTTCAAGTTAATTTTTTCCTCTAATATTTATAAACACCATCATAGTTTTAAATAAATTTGATTTGTCAATAATAAAAAATATATATTAATAATAATTGAAAGTTTCAAAAATTATTCATGAATAGGCACTTAACAGGCACCTACCAAATTGTGCTGTCGAAGTGTTTCGCACTATTTTTGGCTTCCAAAATACTGATCAAGATAACGTGCCTAGGTAGGTAAATAAATTACAAATACAAATGTATACAAAATATGTGAAACGCATGAATAAAGTATAGTAGTATGTTTACTGTAAATAGGGCGATAAGTAGGGGACTGAGTCTTTCTGCGTCCCCTCCCCCACTTTAACCCTTGGTTATAACTAGTGTAGCCTTGCCTAAGTGAAGTCCAAAGCAATACAAATGGGTAACTAACTCTTTTATCGACACATTTTCTGGCGAGCTTATTACATATTATACATTATATTATAATTAGTTACAGCTACTGAGCTACGAATTGTTGTTCAAATAATAAAAACGTTGTTTGAAAACTACTTACTTGAAAGATCGCCAAAGATGTCCGTCATGATTCCAGTACCTATACGGTACTTAAAACATATATTATAGAATACCAACAGAAATTATCTAGTTTAATATTGAACAATGTAAAAATTCAAATTAAATATAATTCATCATACATTGTTTATCTTTATGTGTAAAATGTTTCTATGCAAACATAATATGACTTCCAAAAACCAATTTTTTTAAAAAAACACTATCGTTTAGTACCTACCTACTTATTGGTGGTTAGATTCTGCCATTGACTCAGGTCCTGATTTTGGCGAGTACCTTGGTCACTAGTCACCTGGAATTCTGGACCCAGTGGCGTGATTAGGAATTTGTCTTAGGAGGGATAGACATTTGTTTACACATAAAATACTAAAAAAATAAAATAAATATAATAAATATTAAATTTTCAAGTACAGTGGTGAGTTATAGCTAGAAATAGGTACTATTTTTTCAAAAATCCTAAAACTAATATATACACAGAATTATTAAATTATGCTTTAAAATTCCACACAATTTAGTACCTATATAATATTATATTTTGCATAAATTCACTTTAGCTACACATCATCTTTTTCGAATTATTTTATAAAACATACGTATTTCAAAAAGTTAAGAATAATAGTGCAAAAAAAAAATTGCCAAAATCATAATTTTGGAAGTTATATCCCTCCAAAGTTTGTGATTTTATACGATTACTCACAACACTACTGTCACGCGCAGTGCCTTAACCAAATTAAATTTTGTTTTACACCATCGCTCTTAAAACGTCGAAATAATAATGTTAAAAAAAAAACGAAAAAATTACATCCATTTACAATCCAATAAACCAAAAAAAAAAACCTACTAAAAACACAACCACTGTATTTACCATTTTTATTATTTAGCACTTCCCACACATAAGTCCGCAACTATTTTTTATTCAAATAAAAAAAAATAACAGAAAAATAACCCCTTCAATATTATAACTATTTATAACCCAAAACACAGTCAATCATTTATTATTGTAAATCAAAACATATAGCCTTAACAAATACTCACTATGCAATCCACGATAATATATTAACTATTGTTGCATATTCAGCATTTACATTGTATAAATACTAAACGTTTATATTAATAATAATAATCATAAGTATCATATTACGATCGGTGGGGATTGTCCATCGGTCATTAGCAGGTAGACAATTTTATATGTACGTCAGTTCGTTTTATACTTTTCACAATAAAAGACTATAATATACGTTTGTGTTATTATTCATATTAACAATACACAACAAATTGGCGACGAAGATAAAAATTTTGAAACTCATCTCATATTAAATTAAAATATTTATAAAATGGGTGAGGATAACAAAAATATTACTCAATTCCATAATATAATAGGTTCACCAGGAACATTTGAATCTGGAAACGACATAACAATATTTGTATCAAGACTTACAAATTTTTTCATTGCAAACGGAATAAGTAACGAAGTCCAGAAGAGAGCTATACAATTAGTGAGGAAGTTCACAAAATATTATTCAGTTTATGCGTTCCAGCCAAACCAGACGTTCAGACATACGACACACTATTAGGTTTGTTAAACAATTATTACAAGCCAGTGAAATCGTACTTCGCATCAAGATATGCATTCTACAACGCAAAGCAGAGACCAGACGAAACTGTAGCTGAATGGGGAGCAAGAGTAAAGAACCTAGCATCAAAATGTAATTTTTCATCGGAATTACAAATTGTAATCCGTGACATTTTTGTTGTTGGTATGAACGCGGGACCAATTCAAGATCGATTACTAGAGGAAGATGCCTCAAAAATAAGCATCACATATTCGCACCTTATGGAAATTTCTGCTGCAAAAGAATCTACAATCAACAATAAAACCGGATGGATAAAGGAAGAAGCTGACTTCAAATATCAAAAACAAAGTCAGCAAGCAAAATCAGAAAAGCAGTCAATCACGGAAAAATCAAAATGTGGAACATGCGGTCGATCAAACCACACACAAAAAGAATGCCGATACAAGGACTACAGTTGTAATATTTGCAATATCAAAGGTCATTTGGCTCCTATGTGTAAAAGTAAGAACAATAAACCAAAGTATGATAACCGCTCACACAATAAATTTTTATCCGAAAATTCTGGTAATAACACGAATGAAAATATTCATGATGACGCAATCGCGTACAATTAATCTGACACTTTTTTTAATATGATTGAAAATAACTTTCAAAATAAAGTAAAACCGTACATTATCAATTTATTAATTGAAAATAAAGATTTAAAATTTGAAATAGATACGGGGGCTATGCATAGTGTAATGTCAAAACAATTATATGATACAAGTTTTAATAATTTAACTTTATTACAAAACGATATTTCACTACGCGATTACGTAGGAAATGATATAAGCCCAATAGGAAAATTAATAGTAAATGCTAAATATTTGAAAAAGTCTTTTAAAATTTGAATTTACGTAATACAAAACGGAGGACCGCCATTAATTGGTAGAAATGATTTAAAAATAATAAACTATTCTCCCATTTATAACACTATAAATGTAAACGAAAATATAGAGAATATATTAAAAAATTTCGAGCATTTATTCAAAAATGAAATCGGCACCTTTAATAAATACCAAATATCGCTAAACATTAAAAAGGGGGCAATACCCAAGTTTTTCAAGCCAAGGTCAATTCCTTTAGCACTAAAATCTATGGTAGAGTCGGAAATTGATCGTTTAATAGATAATAATATTTTAACTCCCGTGAACTACAGCGAATGGGCCACTCCAATTGTTCCAATTCTTAAGCCCGACGGTACAGTTAGAATTTGTGGAGATTTCAAAATTACAATCAACCCCGTATTGGAAGGAACTGAGTATCCCTTACCAAAAATAGAACATCTTTATGCGAATATAAGTGGCTCAAAATATTTTTCTAAAATAGATCTCAAAGATGCATATCAACAAATGGTAATTAAAGAGAGTGATCGCAAATTCACTACAATAAATACTCACAAATGCCTATTCAGTTATACTCGAAATCCGTTCGGAATAAAAAGCTCAGCTGGGGAATTCCAAAAAGCCATGGAAATATCAACCACAGGCTTAGAAGGGATTGGTATATTTCAAGACGACATAATAGTTGCGGGAAAAACGGTAGAAGAACACAATAATAGATTAAAAAAATTACTTAACGTTTTATCCGAAGTTGGTTTAAGGGTTAAACAAAACAAATGTAGTTTTCTCAAAATTCAATTGAATATTTAGGTCATAAAATCGATGAGCATGGCTTGCACACCTTAACTAAACACATAAATGCAATACAATCTGCCCTGGTTCCAGAAAATAAAACTATGTTAAAATCATTTTTAGGTTTAGTAACATATTACATTAAATTTGTTCCAAGAGCAGCGGACATTCTTAAACCGTTATACTCATTACTAAGACAAGAAAAAAAATGGCTATGGTCACCAGAATGTGATCAAGCATATAATAACATAAACAAAATGCTTATCTCAAGTCCTGTGTTAGCACATTATGACCAAAAACTTCCCATAAAACTCACGGTCGATTCTTCGTCATACGCACTAGGTGCAATCATATCGCACACTTATCCTGACCACTCAGAAAGACCAATTGCATATGCATCACGAGTATTGTCAAACAGTGAATGCAAATTTCCACAAATCGAAAAAGAAGGTCTAGCCATAATTTTTGGTGTTCAAAAATTTTACGATTATTTATACGGTAGAAAATTTACATTAGTTACTGATCACAAACCGTTAATCCACATATTTGAGGGAAAAAAAGGAATACCAATTTATGCGGCAAATCGCTTACAACGTTGGGCATACGTTCTTTCTTCATTCGATTTTGAAATTAAGTATATTAAATCAGAAGGAAATACTGCTGATTTTTTTATCACGCATTAAAACAAACCAATGCAACAATAATATTAATGAATATGACGACGCTCACATCAATTTTATTCACGAACAGTCACCATTTCCGCTAGATTGACACAAAATTAAAATTGAAACAAAAAGAGATCCAATTACCTCTAGAGTATTACACGCTACAAAAACAGGTTCATGGAGTAATGACTTTTCAATAAATTCCGAATTAAACTCGTATAATACACGCAAAACAGAAATTACTGTTGAACAAGATTGTTTATTTTGGGGCTATAGAGTAATCATACCAAATAACAGAAAACATTAGTAAAAAATAAAATCATACTAGACGAGGGTTCTGAATGGATAAGACACACTGATCAGATATGGCCACACAACCAAATAAATAACTCACTGTCACCTACACCAGCTAGACAAGCAAATGAAAATTCTAAAAATACTGAAACAGTAGGTGAAAATCAAAGTCCCGATCCGGCCGATCCCGTAATAGTAAATAAAACACCCAGACCAATTAAATCTAGAAAACCGCCTCAGCGATATTCTCCAAGTGATTATGCTTAGGGCAATAATTGCAATAATTAACTATTAATTATATCAGTTATCATATTATATAATAAATACTCGTATAAAAAAAAAAATATAAATAAATAAATAAATACTAACATAGTAATTAAGCACTATACAAAATACTTTATATTTTTTTTAAAGGAAAGAGATGTTGCATATTCAGCATTCACATTGTATACTAAACGTTTATATTAATAATAATAATCATAAGTATCATATTACGATCGGTGGGGATTATCCATCGGTCATTAGCAAGTAGACAATTTTATATGTACGTCAGTTCGTTTTATACTTTTCACAATAAAAGACTATAATATACGTTTGTGTTATTATTCATATTAACAATACACAACAACTATGTATTAGATTATTAAGTTAGGTACATTTTATAAATTACTTAAAGTTATACACAAATCACAGAATGTAAATCTACACTTAAATATAAACAACTCATTTTCACATTATACTCAAAACGCATAAATAAAATTTTGCAAATTGATTGTAGGTACCTATTTCAACTGTGTAAACGTAAATACACCGCGAGGACACGGTGCAAAACGAACTTAAGTGCAATTTGTAATATATAAATAACTAGCTAATCCCGTGCACTTCGTTGCCCGTTAAATGTATCAACTTTATATGACTCAAACTTTGTTCAGTTCGTTATTTAATATTCGGTGCATGGTATTCAAAATTTATCTTAAATTTTCCGTCACCCTGAATAAAAATTGTGATTCGCACCAGTACATTATCAGGTAGGAAATCTACTGTTTGTACGTAAGTGTATGATTTAACTCTATGGTATCAAAGTTACACCATGGTTAGGATAATAGGCTGAATATTTGACTAAATATTGAAAATAATATATAAAGACCAGGGAATCAACTCGTACGTACCAGTAGTATATATATACCGTTCCTGGCGCACCTCATAATATATCAGTAAAAGATCACAAAGAAAACAATGTGCAAAAAGATCAGAAAATTGAAATGCAATAATATATCAGTAAAAGATCACAAAGAAAACAATGTGCAAAAAGATCAGAAAATTGAAATGCAATAATAATAAAAAATTTTTTCACAAAACTTATGAAATGCAATAATAATAAAAATATTTTCCGCAAAACTTAATTATTAAAAATAAAAATTGAAATGCAAAAAACTTATATATTTAAACGCGTGTCCAATTCGGACACACGTTAAATATCAAATATTTTTCTAATCTTTTTGATTTTGATTTCTAATCAATGTATTGAGATGGTTTACAAAATCGTTTCTATCTATGTTTGTTTTATAATGTCCCCAAGCTAATGTATCAATACCATTTTCCAAAATAAATCTTTTATCATCATAAACACTTAAAGCTTTTTTGTTTTGTTCTACAGTAAAAATATCATGTTTTTTAGTTCTAAATAAATTTTGTTTAACATACTCGTATTTTGATTCTTTTGTTAGTAAACATTTTTCAAAATCATTAAAACATATTTTATTTTCTACAACATTTTTTTTAACACCTTTAGCTTTTTAATTTCTTTTCAGTATCTAAGATACGATGTGAATATAATTTAGATCTTAAACCTATAAATTCAGTCATAATTTTTCCATTTAACTCATCTTTAAACTTGCCTAAAACTTTTTTGTTAACTAAAGGTAAACCATAAATATTATCTTTTGGATAATCTGAAGTGTCAAAATGATCTAACATAATTTTCATATCTTGATAAAAATCATTAGTTTTTATTTCTAATATTAGTGAATCTGTATCTGTATATAACAATCTAACTCTATTTCCATATTTTTTCTTTATAATATTATAATAAAAATCATACATTAACATTTTAGATAAATCTAAAATACACATTCCTACATATATTGGTTGTTTGAAAGATATTTGTGTTCTTTTCATATGTACGGCAGCTAAATTTTCTGTAAAAATTGTCCTTCGATCAAAATTTGGTTTTGTAATGAATTTTTCTAGTTGGAATGCATTAGAACATAATCTTATATCAACATGATTTCGAACATTCATCATAGTACGTCCATAAACACTATTGTTCATTAATTTGAAATATTCTTTTTCAAACTCATTCTTAGCTTCTGATCTAAGATTAGTATTAAAATCAATATACACTTTTAACCAAGGAGATTGACTAAATTCTAATACTCTATGAATTTTCTCTATCTTTAAACCTAAATTATTATATAATTTTAGTGTTTCATAATGTATTATATATTTTTTCTTATCATACAAAGTTGTTAATAATTTTGGAAGTTGTTTGTTATCAAAATGTCTTTCTGGTGCTAAAGGGAAATCTGAATGTAGATCATGAAGTTCTTTAGGGTAAGATAAATCGACTTCTAAAATATAACCTTTACATGATTTATCAGAAATATTCATTACATCAAAATCATTCAGATTATCAACCCATTTGAAATCTCCAGTAGGTAAATATTTACTCATTGCCCACCCATAAAGATTATTTGCATCCAAGTATTCTAAAAATATTGATTCCTCCTTTTTTTTAAATTTATCTCCCATGTATTTATTATTTGCTTTTGAATATCTTTGACTGCATTGAGATAAGCCACCTCTGATTCCAGATTCAAACATCAATATTTGATCTATATCTGTTAATAAATCTAATTTTACTTTTGTCATTCTTAACATGCAATCCCACGCAAATCCTGGTGTTGTGTAATACCACATAGGATCTAATTTATAATTTTTTAAAGAAATATCTCTAAAATTTTCTATTATATCTGTTAATAATAAAACATCGATTTTATTATATAAACTAGTGAATTCACGCATATTTTGTATATTAAACACTTTCCAAATTTTCTGTGAGTTTTCATATTCCTCTTTAGTTATATTTTTATCTGTGAGAGAACTATAAAATTTTTCAATAGGAGGTAAACATGTTTCATTAAATTTTTCTTCACAATCCATATACTCATAGGGATATGCTAACTTTCTAGTAACTAAATCTAAATGTTCTTCAGGAAAATATTTACTAAGTTCTTTAAATTTATTTTTTAAATTTAATTTCGAATCATTTCTTAAATTATTTGTTAACTTTTCTAAAGAACTAGGTAAAAATTTGAATGAATCAATAAATCTTAATTCTGTACATATTTTTATATCTTTACCTTTCCTATTTACTTCACGTGACATCATTTTTGAAAAAGAAATATATTTTTCCTCATTATTTGGGATTAATTTTATTTTTTCATTATCATTCCCAAATTCTTTTATAAATAGATGGGCATCATAACCTGAAAGATTATGAAAAACAATTGGAATAAAACATGGATTTTGGTAATTAAGATTACATATAGAATGTGCTGCTCCTCTATATTCTCCAGTTAAGTGGTCATGATCCCGAACTTTTTTCATATTTATTTTTTTATTTTTTGTTTCTTCATTAAGTTTATCTTCAAATGATTTAAATTTTTTAACATCATCAATATTTTCATAATGTTTAATATTGTCTTTAATTATTTTAAGGTTATCTTCATACAATTTAAAATTTTTAACAACATCAATATTTTCATAATATTCAATAGCATCTTTAATTTTATTTTTTTCTTCATACAATTTTAATTTTTTAACATAATATTCAATAGCGTCATACAATTTTAATTTTTTAACATCATCAATATTTTCATAATATTCAATAACGATATTAATTATTTTAAGTTTATCTTCATTCAATTTAAATTTTTTAACATCATCAATATTTTCATAATGTTCAATAGCGTTTTTAATTATTTTAAGTTTATCTTCATACAATTTAAAATTTTTAACATCATCAATATTTTCATAATACTCAATAACGTTTTTAATTATTTTAAATTTTTTCTCTAACATTGGAGGTAAATCTGATAAATATCTTTCACAAATATGACATTTATCAGATTTATTATAATAATTATTTAATTGTTCTGCATTCAATGTTTTCATAGGAACTATTTTATCATATAATTCAGAAATAAGTATTTCTTCATCTTTCATACAATCATAAAATACTTGAGCTACGTTTGGACCAGAATATTCTACAGGAGGTTTATAATCACCATTACTATATTTAATATAATAACAAAAATTATTAGGTATATGTTTCTGATAACATTTTGTAAAAGACTCTGTATCATTTGGTTGACAAGTGTATATTGGTTGAAGTGTACATTCAAAGTCAGCATAAATCACAAAAGGGACTCTTAAGGAATGATTATAATTTTTAAATTCTAAAGTTTTGTCATAAGGTTCTGGTAGAACTATTTTAGCGGCTTTATTATTAACACAATAATGTTTATGATCATTTAACTTATTTTCTTCATCAAAACTATTTAAACACATTTTACACAAAAATCTTTTATGAGTATCTTTTGTAACTTGACTTCCTACTAGTTTCCATAAATCTTTAATCCAACAATAATGTCCTTTATTCATATTATTATCCTTATCATCAGTATCCTTATCATCCACTGTTAAATATAATAAATCTATATGATTAGTTTTTTCGATTTTAGTTATTTCTAAAGGTACAATTACATTTTTATCTAAACAATAAATATTAATAGAAATATCTTTTGTTCTTTTAACAAATTTCTGAACGTCTGTGGTTTTTACCGGAAATTCAATATCTTTAAATTCTTTATCAAATTCATTTTCAAAAGGAATATATTTAGTTACTCTTTGAGCATCTTTTTCAACAGGATGTAAAGCAGAGAGTACTGCCCAAAGAAAACATTTATCATCTTTATTTTTAACATTTATAATAGCATGTTTATCTTTAATATGTTTAGGTAATGGAATATATGAAGAACCCTTAAAAGGAACATATTTATTTATATTTATTCCCAAACTTAAAATTTGATGAAGTCTCCATTGTGAATTTTTCATTACAAAATCTTCTATTTCACTTACAATTTTAATTTTTGCATTTGTATAAAATTCATTTAAGTTAGAATTTTGTGTTAAAATTTCATTTT